GGGATTCTTTAATTGCATTATTAGTATTTTAATTGCATGATTGGCAACTATGCTTGGGTTATAAAGGAACTGTTTAATAATAGGTTTCCCCCTCCTCCTCCCATCATCAGGACCTCTGCATGTGGGAATCTGTAACCCCTTCCCTCCTCACCTGGGATCCTGTCCCTCACATTGCAGTTAAGCTTAAGGGGGAAAGCTCCCATTGGTTTCTCTTTGCTAATAAGCAGGAGGCACATTTGTGCTGGGATCATGGCTGAAGAAGGAAGGGTTAACCACCACCACCCATCTACTATGTCTCTAGTGTTGACTTCTTTAAAAAAGCAGGTGTAGCTGATAATCACATAATCAAAATTACATTTGCTTAGATTCTCATGCAGGCAATCTTCCCAAACCCGCCCACAGGGCTTGTGAATGGTGCTAAAGAGCTAACTATACATGCATATTCAGGTCGCAATAGCCCAGCACCTGCTTCTTCTAGGGGAAAGGCAGGTTTGGGAGGAGACAAAATGCAGTTGAAAGCCATGTGGGAGTGTTGTTGTTAAAGGTAAAGGGACCCCTGACCGTTAGGTCCAGTCACAGACGACTCTTGGGTTGCGCGCTCATCTCACTCTACAGGCCGAGGGAACCAGCGTTTGTCCGCAGACAGCTTCCGGGTCATGTGGCCAGCATGACTAAGCCGCTTCTGGCGAGCTAGAGCAGCGCACAGGAAACGCCGTTTACCTTCCCGCCAGAGTGGTACCTATTTATCTACTTGCACTTTGATGTGCTTTTGAACTACTATGTGGGCAGGAGCTGCCTGAACGATAGCTAACCCCATTGCGGTGATTCGAACCGCCGACCCTCTGATCGGCAAGCCCTAGGCCCTGTGGTTTAGACCACAGCGCCACCCTCGTCCATCGTGTTGTTGTTAGGGGTTGCTTAACCCTTTCCACTGCCCAATTACTCAAGGGAATAGAGCCTTGGTTGTCAACCAGGATGCTGTGGAACCTTGGGAAGACTTGAGAAACGTTCATGGGAACCCCAGGGAGCCATCTTTCAATAACTTGCGGCCCAAATCTTTCTACATTATCTCTCTCTCACTTTCTCTCCTCATTAAGGGGAGCCTGTGGCTTTAACCTACAGTCCAATATCTTCCTGCATCTCTCTCTTTCTCTCTCCCTGGCAGCCTTCCTTCCTTGAGCCCACTCAAAAAAGGGGCAGGGTGGAATGGGACAGGGGCAGAACAGGGGGGGCCACCGAAAGAATGTGCTTAGTCAAGGGAGCAATGGACTCAAAAAGGTTGAAGGTTGAAAACCGCTGGAATAGAGCAACATCCCTATGAGGAATACATTTGGGGCTTTTTCATTTAGAGCAGGCATAGACAAACTCAGCCCTCCAGATGCTTTGGGACTACAGCTCCCATCATCCCTGACCACTGGTCCTGTTAGCTAGGGGTGATGGGAGTTGTAGTCCCCAAAACATCTGGTGGGCCGAGTTTGCCTATGCCTGATTTAGAGGATGGGCGAGCAAGAGAAGACACGATAGAATAAAACTATGCATGGGTTGGAGAAAGTGGAAAGAGGAAATTTTTCTCCCTCTCTTAACACTGGAACTTAAGGACATCTGATGAACCTGAATGTTGGAAGATTCAGGATGGCCAGGACAAGGCATAACTAAATTATGGAACAGGCTCCCACAGGAGGCAGTGATGGCCACCAGCTTGAATGGCTTAAGAAGAGGATTAGACAAATTCATAGAAGGCTACCCATGGCTACTAACCCTGTCATAGGCAGCGTGCCTCTGAATGTCAATCACTGAGAATCACAGCTGGAGAGAGTGGTGGTGTGCCCAGTTCCTGCTTGCAAGCTTCCCATGGGCATATTGATTGGCCACCATGAGAGTAGATGGACCTTTCAGAGGAGTGGCGCTATGGTCTAAACCACTGAGCTTCTTGGGCTTGCTGATCAGAAGGTGGGAGGTTCGAATCCCCGCAAATGAGTGAGCTCCCGTTGCTCTGTCCCAGCTTCTGCCAATCTAGCAGTTTGAAAGCACGCCAGTGCAAGTAAATAAATAGGTACCATTGCGGCAGGAAGGTAAACGGTGTTTCTGTGCACTGTTGCACTCGTCACAGTGTCCCGTTGCACCAGAAGCGGTTTAGTCATGCTGGCCACATGACCCAGAAAGCTGTCTGTGGACAATCGCCAGCTCCCTTGGCCTGAAAGCGAGATGAGCGCCGCAACCCCATAGTTGTCTTTGACTGGACTTAATTGTCCAGGGGTTCTTTACCTTAGATGGACCTTTGGACTGATCCAGCAGGCCTCTTCCTATGTTCTTATGCCCAGCCATTTTTCCACCAGTGGATTCCAAATTCCCGATGGGATTTTGTTGCACACATATGCCTATAACGCATAGTTCAACTCTGCGGCAAGTAAAGGTTTGCTCCAGGAATGCTCTGAGCAGGCGCTTGAGGACTTTGTAGCTGATTTATGCTTTGCTGCACAGCGTGTACAAAACCAAGCTCTCATTTTGACAGCTAGCTCAAACAAAAGCAAGACGCTTGATTGACAGAAATAAATATAAGCGGTTGGTGACTGCTTAGGGGAGAGAACCCAAAAGTGTGTGATCTTTGAAAGTTTTGAGAAATACAGACCGGGTTCCTTCTTGCATACCTAAAGCGTTAAGAAACAGAAAGGACAAAGGGAAATTATAAACATTAGATGCACTTACATTGTTAGGTATTTCAAACGTTATGGTGGTGTTATTGTTAGATGTTTTCAGGGTGCAGTGTGACTGATTAACCTTACCTCAGCTAACCTTCTCAGCAGCCCTGTGAAGCAAGTTGGGAGAGGAGGAGAAGGTCTGTTGTTACACGATCACTCGCCCTAAGACAGTGATTTGCAGACTTTCTACCTTCAGGAAATTCTTTCCACGTTGGTTGCCTGCCAAAGAATTTGAGCGCCTGCTGCATATTCCCTATGCATAGCAGGGGATCCTGAGGGATGTTCTAGACTCTAGAACGACTGTGTGCTGGAGCGCTGCCTTGCCCCTGCAACAGAGGGTGCCCAGGGCATGCCAACATCACTCGCGCATGTCGAGGGGGTGTCCTGTTGTGCCATGCAGACACCCCATGGCTTGCGTGTAGAACTGTTTTTATGTTTGCTTTCTATTTGTAAGTTGCTTTGAGCAAGCCCTTTGTAGAAGAGAAGAACACGGGTATACGTTTTAATTATTATTTTTTGGGGGGGAGAAGGGTGGCATTCAACTAAGCTTTACTCGGAACAGACCCAGTGAAATGAATGAACTTGACTAAACTAGGCTCAGCAGGTCTACTCTGAGTATAACTTAGTTTCATACCATCCTTGGTAAATAATCAATGGAAAGCAAATTAAAGGAACAGGGGCTAATTTGTCCTTTTAGTTTACGAGGGTAATGTGCAGGTGCTTAAGTGCAAAATTCATGCGCAGAGCATGAAACTCAGGGTTGTGGGTTCGAGACCAATGTTGGGCAAAAAAACCCCTGGACTAGATGACCCTCATGGTCCCAAATCTACAAGTTTATGATTGGAACACCTGTATTTCCTAGGCAGGGTTTTCTCTTAGTATGTTTAGGACAGGCATAGGCAAACTTGGCCCTCCAGAAGTTTTGGGGCTACAAATTTCATTATTCCTAACTAACAGAACCAGTGGTCAGGGGTGATGGAAATTGTAGTCCCAAAACATCTGGAGGGCCGAGTTTGCCTATGCCTGGCTTAGGAGTAGTTTTCAGGTCCCTCCATCTGTGGGGAAATCTCAATAGCTACTTTCACAGATGTGCTGCCATCATCCCTAGTTAACAGGACCAGTGGTCAGGGATGATGGGAGTTGTAGTCCCAAAACATCTGGAGGGCTGCGTTTGCCTATGCCTGCGGTAGAGCATGAGACTCTTAATCTCAGGTTTAAGGGTTCGCGCCCCATACTGGGCAGAAGATCCCTGAACTGCAGAGGGTTGGACTAGATGGCCCTTGCGGTCCCTTACAATTCTATGATTCTATGTACATAACTGTTCTTGAGTACAGGAAGCTATTGTTGGTGGAGGGAGTCCACAGTTCCATGGAGAATCAGGGATGGGGAACCTCAGGCATTGGGAGCAAAAGGTGTCCACCCCGCAGGTATTTAAGTGTTTCCTCAGAAGCCTCAACATGCTTTTGCCTGTCTGGAGTGTGTTCCTCGCTATTGCTTGCTACAATGGAAAGTAGAGAGGAGTCTGTGAGCACATGCATAAATTATCCCACAAAGGCAAATTTTAAATTTGCTGCTCTGCGTGCACTCCCTCCCATGCACCCACCCAAATCTCCTTTCAGGGAAGCAAGAGTTGAAGGACACACTCCAGAGAGTCAAAAACACTCCAGGTGGCAGAAAAGCAAGGTCAGTAGCAGGTGTGGCCTGGGAAGACTTACAAGGGCCAGACAGAAAGGCTTTGAGGGCCGCATTTGGCTCCCAGGTTACTCATCCCTTAGTTACAGCTGAGTAACAGCTGCACCAACAACTCAGCCTGTGCCGGAGTGTCTTACTGGATACCTGGGAGCTCTGGGTTCAAATCCCCCCTGAGCCATGAAGCTCACAGGGTTGTTGTGGAGGACCAAAAACGAGGTGGGAAAGAGCCCCTGCCTTGCCCTCCTTGAAGGAAAAAGGTAAAACACAACAAGCACAATTAATGCATATTCCCACCCTTTACTTCTGCTGGGGGCCTTTGCTGTTGTTCTGTGGGGTTTTTTTTTTTAACTTGGCTCGGGGACCCTATAAATAAACCGAAGCCGAGCAGCTGAGAGAGGGGACCCCGACGCCAGAGCACAAGTTTCCATTTCCAGGGATTGCGCAACAGGCAAGGAGCAGCCCCAGCAACAACCGCCGCTCCTCCCGAGGAAAGAGCGCAGCAATAAACAAAGCCACGTGTCTCTCCTCCCTCCCCGGGCGAGAGGCGGAGCTTGCAGGCGCTCTTCCGGCAACAAAGAGCCCCTGCAGCCCGCAGATAAATACGGAGGCGGCCGGAGCGAGGGCAGAGACAAGGATCGGAGTGGTGGAGCAAGGGCGAAGGAGATCCTAGTAGAGGAGGGGGAGAGCAAAGAATAATAGTAATAATTTCTGTGTAGCCCTTTGGCTAGGGACATTGCGCTTCCTAGGCATCTTCGCTTGGGAGAAGGCGGCGAAAGGGAGCGCAAGGACAACTTTGGTTGCTGGATTTCTTTGGCTGGCGAGGATGCCTTTTCTGGGCCAGGACTGGCGCTCCCCGGGGCAGAACTGGGTGAAGACGGCGGATGGTTGGACGAGGTTTCTGGCCGAGAGGGAGAACAGCAGCGGCAGCTTCGCCAGCGAGCGGAACAGGTGAGAGCGGCGCGGAGAGAGCCGGGTGCCTTGCGCGCCGCGTGCGCCTTTGGAGAGGTTTGCCCCACTTGCAGGTGGGGGTGTCGTCCCCCCAACCCCGGACATAGTTGCTAGCAAATGCTGCCGCTGTTGTTGTTGTTGGGGCTGCCGAGTGGTAGCAGGCAGAGAGATACGTGGCGTATCACACACACACACACACACACACCGGTTTGCATCTTTGCAAAAAAAAAATTAAAAATGGCAAGCCTTGCTTTTTGCAAAGAACGCGCAGACATGGCGGTTGTTTTCTTAACGAGGCCGTTGTTTCCCCGAGTGCATCTCTGCCCGTACGAGGCTGCAACGCCTCGGTTTGTGTTGTTCTTGGGGTTGTGGCGTCATTGCGGGAAGGAGGATCATCTGGCGAGCTAAACCCTCTCCAGGAACCCGGAGGCGGAGGCAGGAGCGAGAGCGCAGCGCCCACCTCCTGCGGCGCTACCAGGAACGTGCCGCTTCCAGCTCTCCAGATGTGACTCTCGGCCCGTTAAATGCGTTCGCGCATTTGCTCCAGATTTCTTAAAAGCGAAATGTCCGTCTTGCCCACCCGTCTATTGTATTTGGGGTTGGTTGGAGAGTGGAAGCAAATCTGTGGGATTGTGGATCAGAGAACCACCATTTTATTATCGCGATATGGAGGGAGTGGAGGGCTGTATCTTAAGGTTGGTCCTACGCGGAGCAGACCTATTAAAAATAATGAGCATTACTAACTTGGGTCCATTAACTTCATTGGGCTTCTCTGAGTATAGTTGGATGGAACTGTGTGTGTGTGTGTGTGTGTGTATGTCCCCAAGAACAATTTGATATTAAGTGATCAGGAGTAGGACTGGGTGTTTCCAGAAATCTCGAGCTCTAAAAAAAAAGTCACCGGAAATCTTCAGTTGTCCTAGAGGCATATTCTGGCAAAAGCAACAACGGCTCTTTAAAAAGCAGGCGCTGTTTGGGCGCTCTTCTCTCATCTTCTCCCATTCTTTCCATGAGGTTGCCACCCACCCAGAATTTTTATTGGGCCAGTTTGAATTTGATCATTGGAAATGTGAGACTCAAAGCTGGACAATAAGCCCTTGCCGGACAGTTATTGTTGTTAGTCATCTTAGGTGTCACCTGTTCTGGTTGTATCTTTGGCACCATGTCACAACCTTTGTGCCTTCCAAAGCAGGTGTGTTGTGAACATAAATGCATGCATATGTCCTCTGTTGCTGTTTCGAACTCTGCCCCTTGATAAGAGGATGATGGAGGTGGTTGACTGCAGTTGGTTTGCATGCTGTGGCTCTGTCATTGTGTGTGTGTTTTTCTCCTAGCTGCTGTGCAAGCACACCAGCCACCCCAGAACCTTGGCCTCTCTCCCCTTCTGCCAGACCTCATCTGCCTACCTTCTTACTCTACGGCTTATCAGTTTCCTCCTCCTCAGCCTCAGGTTGTCCTTGCAGAACTCAGCAGGGAGGGGGATGGGGACAGAAGAACTGGAGTGAACTACATCTGCCGCTCATTGGCTCTGGCGCCACCTAATGTTGGTCTCCTTGCCCTCCACCCTATCAGTCGCAGTGGGTATCAGACAACACCTGCTTGCCCTTATGCTCTAGGTCAGGCACCCCCAAACTCAGCCCTCTAGATGTTTTGGGACTACAATTCCCATCATCCCTGACCACTGGCCCTGTTAGCTAGGGATGATGGGAGTTGTAGTCCCGAAACATCTGGAGGGCCGAGTTTGAGATGACCTAGAGCAGGCATCCCCAATCTTCTGGTCTCTGGATGTTGCTGGACTACAACTCACATCATGCCTGACCATTGGCAAGGCTGGCTGGGGCTGATGGGAGTTGGTGTCCAATGATACCTGGAGGTTTCCAGGCTGCTTTGCAACAGGGATCTCATGGGACCACTAGCAGCAGATGGTGCAACACCAGATTCCCAAGCACAGCAGGACAGACTGTTTCTGAACAGGCAAGGAAGTATTCCCTTTGGGAAAATAATTTTGTGCATGTTCAGAGACACTCAGCCATAAAGTACCTTTTTAAAATAAGTACCAGTTCTGTCCCACCTTCACCCATTTCCCCACCTCTCATACTCTATCCAACCTTTGTCTTCTCCCCCAGGTTTTGACCAGGACGCTGCTAAGTCTCTCCATGTCCCTGGAGACTGTTTGGTCTGATGCAACACACACACACACACACACACACACACAGATTTGTGCTGCTCTGCCTCCATCCCTACCCAGGTTTCCTCAGGCACAGCACACAGCTGGGCAAAAGTGCTTGAAAGTCTAATATTCTCAAAATGGTGTTGCTTTGGTTCAGGGAAGCGAACAATCCTGCAAATTGCTTTCCTCGGAAACCAACTCCTCCTAGAACTTAATGAGAAACTTAAATAATAAATTGGCACACCAAAGAACAGAGGAGTTGGAACAGCAGCAGATAGTATGTCAGTTACTGAGGAAGCAGGTTATCTGCTAAGCATGAATGCTGGATAGCTCAGTTGGTAAAGCATTAGACTCTCAGGAATCTCAAGTTCCCGGGTTCGAGCCCCACATTGGGCAGAAGATTCCTGCAATGTAGGGGGTTGGACTAGATGACCCTCGTGGTCCCTTCAAACTCTAAAATTCTACGATTTGTATGAAGTTTATTCATGAATCAAAACACCCACCAGTTCCCTTAGTGAGGATTCTTTTGATGGAAGCATGTGCATGTTACATTATGCAGTTCACGGTGAGAATTTTGCTTGGCGCACGGATATTTCCCCCCTGCTTCTGCCTAAAATGTGCAGCAAACCAGGATTTTAGATGGATGGTTTCTGTATGAGAGCCAGATTTTTTGTTATTAGGGTTTTGGAGCTTCTTGGATGGGTTCGCTGAGCAAGCAAGAAAATGAAGAGAAAACAGATACAACCCAGTCTGCAGCCTAGTTAGGCCACAATGTTTGGATTTAAACTGACATAAATCCCCTTCCATTTAATGGGGCTGCAATCCTTTGCACGTCAACCTGCCTGTAGATCCCAGTGAACACAGTGGAGTTTACTTCTGAGTAAGGTATAGAATTGGACTGCCAAAGCTGCTCACTTGGTTAGCTAGGCTTGCTGAATTTATTTTGGAATACCTGCTTTTTGGAAACGGAGTTGCAAAACTAAATGCAAGCACTGAATTTAGTGGGACTTTTAATTTAGCATTACGTTATCTGGGAAGGAAGTATGTCAGATCTAACTAGGCAATATAGATAGATCTAACTAGGCAATATAGATTGAGACTCCTGCCTGATAATTTTGGAAGGCTTGTTTCCTGTAACTTCTGTTTATGCTTTCCAGGAAAACATCAGTTTGAGTAATGTATGGGCTAGTTTTGCAAAATCCTCGGTGGGTGGTTCTTTTGTTGAAACATAAATTTGTGGCAGCGGGAACACTGCATCCCCATTAGTGGAGTTGTGCTTCAAAACTTTCGCTCAGACGGGTATCTGTTTAATTACAAGAAATCAATACTGACAGTTCAAGTGGCTTCAGAGCATGCAGTAGTTGAGATGTGGAACTTAACAAAATGGGTTGAGTCTATTTTTAAACTCGGAGCTCTCTTGGTTTACTGTGTTTAGTTAACAAAAGCCTTGGCTATGGCAGGGCATTCTGGTTTATTTTGTTTGGCATCTAACAGAATGTTGGCCACTTAAGCAGAGGCCTGTATTCGTTGCATATTAAAGGCTTCTTCCACCCCACCCCCCCAAAATGAAATGTTGTTAAGCAATGGGCCATCGAGTTCCGCTATCCTGTCTTCAGCAGGGACTGATACTGAAATACCACAGAGCAGGCTGTTTACATCCCTGTCTGTCCCACGAAACTAGTGGCAACTGTGAACAAGATTCATGATAGATTTGGTTGGACCAACTATTGGATTCAGGATCTTTCAGTTTGCTTGTGCAGCATGCAGGGGATTTCACAACCAAATTAAAAACAATTCTACTGTCAGTAAGCTGAAGCCCAAACTTTTTTGTCTAGGCTGCTCATTTTGCTAAAAGTTTGCATTGGTAAATATTACTACCTCTACTGAGAAAGTGAACCCAGGTTTTTTGTTTTTAATTCCTGGCTTTTGAAACTGCAAAGGCAAAACTAAAAGCAACCACTTTTGGATTAGACGTGAGTGGCAACAGTATGACATAGCACATGGGAACGGTGCCCTGATCATTTCTTTGTCATTCGCTTGGCATCTCTCACTGCTTAAACATGCCATCTGTCAAAGCATGCCTTGACACCCCAGTCTTTGAGCCCTTGTGTGATGCTCCACCGACTCCTTGTGCAACAGTAGCTCATCCATATGAAATAGACTGGAAGGAAAAGCCTTGCCTTGGGGCTGTGCTGATTTTCACAGTTTGAAAAAGAAAACTGGCTAGATGTGGGCTCTTGCACAACAAGAGAAGTTAGGTGCACAGCTGCCAAAGTATTAAATCTCTATATCAAAGTTAGAGTACATTGCGGCGGCATTGCTAGGGATGAGGGAGGAATTATGGCTGGCTGTTTGGAGAGACCACTGCTTGCCCCTGGTTCTAACCCTCCTGTAGGAAGTGGCAGCAGAACCGTAGCTAGGTGATCTTGCGCCCCTGGCAGAACCGTCCAGATTGCGCCCCCTAGGTAATGTGGCACAGAAAAAAAATAGGGAAAAACAGGGCCCCTGCATAACATATACTGTAAGGTAAAGGGACCCCTGACGATTAGGTCCAGTCGTGGCCGACTCTGGGGTTGCGGTGCTCATCTCGGTTTACTGGCCGAGGGAGCCGGTGTACAGCTTCCGGGTCATGTGGCCAGCATGACTAAGCCGCTTCTGGTGAACCAGAGCAGCGCACAGAAACACTGTTTACCTTCCCGCCAGAGCGATACCTATTTATCTACTTGCACTGTGAGGTGCTTTCGAACTGCTAGGTTGGCAGGAGCAGGGACCGAGCAATGGGAGCTCACCCCGTCGCGGGGATTCGAACCGCCGACCTTCTGATTGGCAA